TTGCGTTTAGTATGGTGATTTTTGTCTAGTGTGCAATAGTGTGATTACGATTTACGATTTTTGAATACAAATTGTGAGAGTTAAAGTGTTCAATAATGGATGAAAACGAGGAAAATATTTCAGGTAAGGTTTGTTGTTAAACTTTTTTTAACTAACACTAGTATTAAGCAAAAAATTGAGAGAAATCGCCCAAATTAGCAAAAAATATTTATTTGTCAGATTCAGAAGACACTGCGACTGATACTGATCCCTATGAAACAGATGAGGACAGCGAATATTTGCCCAATTCACCTAACAGAATCGTTGAAGCTGGAACCGACGACACAGAAAGTGAGACTTCTAATAATGAAGAACATGGTATGCAAGCATTGATCACTTGTTTTATATTAATAAAGTTGAAAACTCTATATTTTTTTCAGTGACACCAAGGAAGGCTAGAAAAAGAAAACGAAACGAGAACCAGAAGCAGAAACGTAAGCGTGCGAGATTAACTGGACAGCAGTACGTAGCTTTAAATGGGAAAGAAATTAGGAAGAGAGAACTAAAACCATACAATCATCGATGCAGATACGGATGCGATAAAATTGAGGAAGAGCGGAGGAAATTACTGTTTGAAAAATTTTATAGTTGGCAGTCATATGATCTACAAACACAATATTTAGCCTCTTGTATAACGAAATCTGCCCCAAAAAGACCTAATAGAAATGCAGTTTCACAAAAACAATTTACAACAATAATAACTCTTATGGGCACACGAGTTTGTAAAAAGTTTTTCCTGAAAACCTTTGATATAACCAATAGAAGATTTGGAATAGTTTGTCAAAAGAAAAATGCTGATGGGTTTACTGACACTGATAAACGAGGACATCACGCCCCAAAAAACAAAATTGACGCAGTTACCAGAAATAATGTAATAACGCATATTAAAATGTTTCCCCGCTATAAAAGCCACTATTCGCAGTCCCAAAATGGTAATACAAGCTATCTTCCAGAGGATTTATGCATAAGGAAGATGTATTCATTATATAAAATATGGTGCAATGAAACAAAAAACATTCCCCCAGTTGAAGAATCGTATTATCGAAGTGTTTTTTGTAACGAATTTAATCTTAAATTCCATAAGCCCCACTCAGATACATGTCACACATGCGATCGTTTAAATAATTTGATAAACAATAGTCCTGATGAAAACATTAAAACGCAAAGCAAAGCCGAGCTAGAACTTCACCAAAGGAAAGTTGAGAGTGTAAAAAATGTCAAAAAACTCGATATAGAGTACGGAAGACAAAATCCGGATAAAGTTCGGGTGATTTGCTTTGATCTCCAGAAAACATTACCTACTCCTTTTCTTTCAACTAATAAAGTATTTTACTTACGTCAATTGTGGACATATAACCTTTGTATTCATGATCTAGTAACTGGAATATCCTCTATGTACATTTGGGATGAAACCATCGGCCAGCGAGGATCACAAGAAATAGGATCATGCTTAATTAAGGTACCTTATATTTTAAGACAAGTTCTTCTTATTAGAAAATTACTAGAACCTTTTTTTTCAGTACATTATGACCTTGCCGCCAAATATTGAAGAACTTATTTGCTACAGCGACCAATGTGGAGGCCAGAACAAAAATAAGAACATCACAAAATTGTTCATGTTTCTCGTTCAAACCACAAGTTTGAAAATAATACACCACAAATTTTTCGAATCTGGACATTCGTACATGGAATGTGATCGTTCATTTGCCCGTATTGAAAAAGCTAAAAAAAAAGCTTTAAACATCTTTATTCCAAAGAACTGGTCCGAGCTAATAAGAAACACGTCAAATAAATTTCAAGTTATTGACATGAAGCAGAAGGACTTTCTCTCTTTTGACTACCTTAATAGTATTATCACAGATCCTAAGAAGGATATGGAGAAGAAACCATTAAAGTGGCGACAGATAGTATGGTTTACGTACAGAAATGAAGATTTTTTCTGTTTCTTGTTCAACCAAACTAGAAATCCAATTTTTCCCTCGATTCACTCTCAAAAATGTTCTGCGCTTCCAGTAGGAAGACCAAGATTGTCCATAAAAAAGTTATTGGAAAAGTCTCTTTATTCGACTACGTTGAAAATAAAAAAGGCTAAATGGGAAAATTTGATTCAACTTCTGCCGTACATTCCTCCGATATACCACGATTTCTACCAAAAAATGCCCCATGAAGCAAAAGTCTCGAACAAGAAGACAAAGGGAAAACCAAGTGGTTCAAAAAAAAATGAAACACAAAATAAAGCTGAAAAAGAGACACAAAATGAAACTGAAGAAGAAACACAAAATGAAACTGATCAAGAAGACGACGTAGTACTATCTGACGACTACGAAGAATACTGAAAGTACTTGCGATTATGATAAGCATACTAAAATCTTCATGTTTCTATTATGAGTTGTATTTTCCTAATAAAACTATTGCTGAATTTTTGTTTTGCTTCCATCGTTTAAAACCATAAGGGTCTAAGTAGCATTAACAAAAAAAAATAAGAACATTAGCAAAATTTTATAATCCTAACAAAAAACAGTTACATATTACGTATTAAATAACATCAAAAAAATCGTGAAAAAATATCTATAGAATTTACAGTAAGCAACTAACTTCAACTTCAAATATCTCAAAATGAAAAATTTGTCGGTTGGACCCTTTTGGTTCTCACCCCTTCAATTCATGTATTTCCCGCAATTTTAAAATTCCCGTGATTTTTGCAATTTTTCCGATTTTTTTTCATTTTTTCGCAATCCCTGTAATTTTTGAAATTTCTATAATTTTTTAATTTATTTTTATTAATAATTCCAAATTTTTGTGATTTCCGTAATTTTTTGATGAATCTTCGCAAATTCGGTAATTTTTTGATTTTTTCGTGGTTTCTAATATTTTTCAATTTTTGTAATTCTTTAATAAATTATTTTCGTAATTTTTTAATTCTTTTAATTTTTATAATTCTCATAATTTTTTAAAAATCTAGTAACTTTTTGTAGTTTTGAAATTTTTGTAATTTCTGCTAATTTCAAATTATCAATTCAAAACTATATGAATTATATACATAATTCAAAATTTCCAAAAATATTCTGAAATTACAAAAAAATAGGGGAATTACAGGAATTATCCAAAAATGCAGGAATTACTCAAAGTTATCCAAAATTACAGGAATTATTTGTAAATTACGGAAATTTTCTCAATATTACAAAAAATTACAGAATCTACGAAAAATGGAAATTATGAAAAATTACGTGAATAACGGAAAATTACGAGAATTATGAACATTACGAAAAACTATGAAAATTACAGAAATTATTGCAAAAATTTTAAAATTTTCAAATGAAAAATCACTCCATAAAAAATTATGGAAAATTGACTTATTTAAGCAAAATTAAGGAAAATTCACTTCTTACATTTTAATTTTTTTCTGGAAAACTGGCAGAGGGAAAATTTTGAAAATTTTCCAAGAAAAAGAGGAAAGTGAGGAGCTCATTATAGGAAAATTTCGAAATTTTTCAGTGAGAAATCGCTCTAAGGAAAATTCTGGAAAATGACTTTTTCAAGTAAAATTAAGGAATATTCATCCTCTCACATTTCAATTAATTGTTTCCTAGAAAATTGGCAAAAGAGGAAAAAGAGGAAAGTCAGGAGCTCATTATAAAAAAATCTCAAAATTTTCTAATGGAAAATCGCTCCAGGAAAAATTCTGAAAAAATGATTTTTTCAAGTAAAATTAAGAAAAACTCATCCTCTCACATTTTAATTTATTTCTGGAAAACTAATAAAGCAAAACTTGTGAAATTTTTCCAGAAGAAAGATGAAAATGAGGAGTTCATTATAGGAAATTTTCAAAATTTTCTAGTGAAAAATCACTCTAAGGAAAGTCGATAGGAAAGTTCTGGAATAGTATATTGTGTATTTAGGTGGAAAAGTGACACATTCTCGGCCGACGGTGTAAGTTGACGGGCGAGGCGTAGCCGAGACCGGCAAACACCGAAGGCCGAGAATATGCTTTTCCACCGAAATATATATACTATTTTTTCTGCGATCGGTTAAATACCTGTTAAATGTTTGTCTTTTAGTTCCAATTATTCAGCAATACGAGAATCACTTTCCCGGCCTAGGCCGGAAAAGTGTTTCCCGTATTGTTATTCATTGATTCCTTAGCAGCTATTGAAATATAATTGAAATACCAGAATATTGAGTTTTGCGGCCTGTCAACCGGTCAAAAATGCTGACATTTCTTGTCAATCGCAGAAATTTTTTTTTTTTCTAAGCAAAATTCATTTCACATTTAAACTTTTTTTTGGAAAACTGCTAAACTAAAGGGAAAATTTTGAAAATTTTTCAGGATAAAGAGAAAAGTGAGGAGCTCATTATAGGGAAATTTCGAAATTTTCCAGTGAAAAATCACTCCAGGAAAAATTCAAAGAAAATTGACTTATTTAGGCAAAATTAAGGAAAAATCATTGAGGTAGAATAATAAGGAGGCGACATAAGGAGAAAAAAGCGTATCCCACTTCCGCCATATTGTTACGACATTTCTGTCTGAGATTCTGTCACTTTTGTCATAGCAATGCGTCAAAATTACATCAGGGGCACATTTTCCATCCCAAAATTTTTTAAATGCGAAAAATTTTTGAAGCCTAGAATTCCTGTTTCAGTATGTTGAAGTTTCTGTGGCTACTTTTTTTTTCTTGGTGTAATCTCGATTTTTTTACCCCTCTCGGGCCCGGGTCTGTGTGCTTCGCACACATGGCACACCGGTAGATACGCCACTGAGTAACATTTTCTTAAGCTACTTCCTCAAATCTTCAAAAATAGTCCGATGTGATAAACATCAAAATTTGTATTCGCCGAGAAATCTTACACAGATTTTTCCTCCTAAAAATCTTACGGGATTAGTCAGTCGGCGTAGATAAGTTGAGACAGACAGACGCGCACTTTATAGTTATTCGTAAAAGTTGCATCGTAGAGTGACTATTATGTCTTTGTGGATTAGCTACGTCCGAGCCGGATATAGAAAACACAATAGTCAACTCAAAAAAAAACATCGATTATCTTTACCTGTAAGTTAGTTTTTTAGTGAAAATAACATTTTTTTTTTTGAAATTTAGTCTCCACAAGACATTCACTTCTATTTTGAGCCTTAAAAATGCACAACATATGGAGGCTGAATCAGTGGCGGCTCCAATCCAAACTGATGAGGCCCATGGCCCATCGAGTTAACCCAAACAAAATTTTCAAGTGTTACGCCCAAATTTTGACCCAAAATTTCATTAAAAGAACACCTCGGATATTTTTTTTTTTATATATTTCTAATAAAATTTTTCATTTCTTACAATTGCAAAACAACAGCAGTCATAAGCGCAACTAGGCTCCAAATTTGAAGGATTTGATGGAAAGGAAATGTGACGCGTAAAAAAAAGTTAGTTTCACGAGGGTTTGTACTTACGTCATCATTTGCCTTCTGAAAAATAGGTTTTTTTATATCTGAAATTTCAAACAAACATATAGTTCGTTGCATGGTATGAAGGTTTTTACTTCCGTCATCGATGACGTCGTAACTTAGAGAAAAAGTTACGTCATAGATTAATTCATGGAGCACCTTCGGAATTATTGTTTTGTAATACATTTTTTAATTTAGAATAGAGTTTATTTAGTTATCCGAAAATATATAAATAAATTTATCCTGCAGTGATTTCTCACTGGAAAATTTTGAAATTTTCCTCTAATAAGCTTTTCACTTTCCTCTTTCTCATGTGAAAATTTCAAAATTTTCATGTTGCCAGTTTTTCAGAAAAAAATGAAAATGTAAAAGGGTGGATTTTTCCTTAATTTTGCCTAAATAAGTCAATTTTCTTTGAATTTTTCCTGAAGTAATTTTTCACTGGAAAATTTCGAAATTTCCTTATAATGAGCTCCTCACTTTTCGCTTTTTCCTGGAAAATTTTCAAAATTTTCCCTTTAGCAGTTTTCCAAAAAAAAATTTAAATGTGAAAGGATGAATTTTGCTTAAAAAAGTCAATTTTCCAGAACTTTCCTATCGACTTTCATTAGAGTAATTTTTCACTAGAAAATTTTGAAAATTTCCTATAATGAACTCCTCATTTTCTTCTTTCTTTTAGAAAATTTTCACAAGTTTTGCTTTATTAGTTTTCCAGAAAAAAATCATTCAATCAGAATTTTTCCTGGAGCGATTTTCCATTGGAAAATTCTGGAATTTTCTTATAATGAGCTCCTGACTTTCTTCTTTTTCCTCTTTTGCCAATTTTCCAGGAAACAATAATTGAAATGTGAGAGGATGAATTTTCCTTAATTTTACTTGAAAAAGTCAATTTTATAGAATTTTCCCTAGAGTGATTTCTCACTGAAAAATTTCGAAATTTTCCTATAATGAGCTCCTTACTTTCCTCTTTTTCTTGGAAAATTTTCAAAATTTTCCCTCTGCCAGTTTTGCAGAAAAAAATTAAAATGTAAGAGGTGAATTTTTCTTAATTTTGCTTAAATAAATCAATTTTCCAGAATTTTTTATGGAGTGATTGTCCATAATTCTCGTAATTTTTCGTTATTCACGTAATTTTTCATAATTTCCATTTTTCGTAGATTTTGTAATTTTCTGAATAATTCCTGTAATTCCCCTATTTTTTTGTAATTTCCGTTATTTTTCGTAATTTCTGTAATATTCGAATAATTTCCGTAATTTCAGAATATTTTTTGAAATTCTAAATTATGTATATAATTCCTATAGTTTTGAATTGATAATTTAAAAAATATAAGAATTGCAAAAATTGAAATTAGCAGAAATTACAAAAATTTCAAAACTACAAAAAGTTATTAGATTTTTAAAAAATTATGAGAGTAATTATAAAAATTAAAAGAATTAAAAAACTACAAAAATAATTTATTAAGAATTACAAAAATTGAAAAATATTAGAAACTACGAAAAAATCAAAAAATTACCGAATTTGCGAAGATTCCTTAAAAAATTACGGAAATCACAAAAATTAGGAAAATTATAAAAATTCTATTAAAAAATTAGGTAAAATACAGAAATACCGTGAAATATAGAATTAATAAAAATAAATTGAAAAATTATAGAAATTTCAAAAATTACAGGAATCGCGAAAAAATAAAAAAAATCGGAAAAATTGCAAAAATCACGGGAATTTTGAAAAATCACGGGAAATACAATAATTATTAAAAAACTAAGAGGAAAATTAAAAAATTACAAAAAAATCGGGTATTACAAAAGCAATGAAAATAAAAAAAATTTAAAAATACTGGAAATTCAAAAATTATGTAAAATTACAAAAATAATTGAAAAATTACATAAAATACGGAAACTACAAAAAAATAACAAAAATCATTAAAATTGCAAATATCATGAAAATTTGAAAAAATTACAGCACTTACAATTATTGAAAAATAAAAATGAGAATTGCAAAATTACGAAAAAAACCGGGAATGGAAATACTTATGTAATGGAAATTATTTTAAAAAATTACGGGAATTTCAAAAACTACGTGAAATTGCAAAAATCATTGGCAAATTACGGAAAAATTACAAAAATCATGAAGATTACAAAAATTACAAGAATTTCAAAAATTATGTAGAACAGCAAAAATCATGGATTAATTGCGATAATTAAATTTGTAAAAAATTAGGAGAATTAAAAAATTACGAAAAAAATCACGGGAATTTCAAAAGTTATTAAAGTTTCGAAAACATTGGAAAATAACGTATAACGGAAAAATAACAAAAATTACGAGAATTACAAAAATTACGGAAAATTTAAAAAGTTACGGAAACCACCATTATTGAAAACTAAAAAGGAGAATTATAAAATTTGAGTATTACAAAGGCAATGGAAATTATTGGCAATTTCAAATATTACGTAGAACTACAAAAGTCATTGATAAATTACGTAAATTACAGGAATTATAAAAATGAAAAATAACGAATATTACAAAAATTCACGGAAATTTCAAAAAAATACGGGAATTACAATTATTGAAAAATTAAGAGAATTATAAAATTACGAGAAAAAATCATGGAAATTTCAAAAATTATGTAAAATTACGAAAATTATTGGAAAATTACATAATATGGAAAAATATTAACAAAAATCACAAAAATTTCAAAAAATCATGGAAATTGCATTAATTATTAAAAAAATTGAGAGAAGAATTATAAAATTAGAAAAAAATCGAGTATTACGGAAAACAATGAAAATTATTAAAAAAAATTACGCGAATTTCGAAAATTACGTAGAATTGCAAAAAATTATTGGAAATTACGTTTTACGAAAAAATAATAAAAATCACGAGAATTTCAAAAATAACAGAAATTTGAAAAACTTACGGGAATTATCATTATTGAAAAATAAAATAAAGAAATTACGGGAATTAAAAAAATAACAGAAATCACGAAAATCATAAAAAATTACGGAAATTAGGAAAATCATAAAAAAAATTAGGACAATTAGAATAATTATAGGAATTGCAAAAATTACGGAAATTACGAAAAATTGAAAAAAAAATATCGGAATTAACACAAAAATTAAGGAATTTATTTGTTAATCAATGAAAATTATGGGAATTGCAAAAATTGCAGAAATTACGAAAAAATTCGGGACTATGGAAAATAATTAAATTTTTAAAAAATTATGGAAATTAGAAAAGTTACAAAAGTTACGAAAATTCTAGAAATAAATCACGGAAATTTATTAACGAATTGCAAAAATCGAAAAAACCTATGATGATTTTCAAAAAGTTAGAAAATAACAAGAACTACAAGAATCAGGAATTACAATTACAAAAATTATAAAGACCGGGAAATTATAAAATTTCAAAAAACGTCCAAGAAATTTAAAAAATTCCGACAATTGAAAATTACGAGAATTATAAAAAATTACGGGGATTACGAAAAAGTTACGGGAATTACGAGAATTAGAAATTACAAAGGCTTTCGGGAAATGATTTTGAAAAATGCCCAGAAAAAATACGGAAATTACGGGAATTACCTACTAATTTTTGAAATATACAAAAACGTGGAATTATAAAAATAACGGAATTTTCTGAGAAACTACGGGAATTAAAAAATTATAAAAATTTGAAGAACAACAGGAATTAATAAAAAAATTATAAGAATTATTTGAGAAATGACAGGAATTAAAAAATTTCTAAAGAAAAATTACGAGTCTTCGAAAATTACAAAATTTGCTATAATGAGCTCTTTATTTTCTTCTTTTTCTGGAAAATTTTCACAATTTTCTTGCCAGTTTCCCGGTTGTAAGAGGGTGAATTTTGCCTAAAAAAGTCAATTTCCCAGAATTTTTCCTGGAGTGATTTTTGACTGGAAAATTTTGAAATTTTTCTATAATGTGCTCCTCACTTTTCTTTTACTTCTGGAAACATTTCATAATTTTCCCTTTGCCAGATTTCTAGAAAAAAAATAAAATGTAAGAGGATGAATTCTCCTTAATTTTGCTGAAAAGTAAGTTTTTCAAAATTTTTCTTGGATTAATTTTTTACTGAAAAATTTTGAAATTTTCGTAAAATGAGCTTCTCATTTTCCTCTTATTCCTGGAAAATTTTCAAAATTTTCTCTTTGCAAGTTTTCTAAAAAAAAATTAAATTGAAAGAGGATGAATTTTTTTTAATTGCTTAAATAAGTCAATTTTTTAGAACATATTTGGGATTTCAGTCGTAAAAAAGAAGAATCACCCTTTGTCGTTTGTACATGATATTTAAGAACACCCTGTATAATACGCAGTTAATTAATTTATGGCAGTGGATAGAGGTCCGAAAATTCGGATCTCTAGTGTTCATACTAAATATTCGATAATTTTCGGATTTTTGTATATTAGGGGTCCGAAAATGCGGATCTTTAGTGGTAATATGTATTGAAGATCCGAAAATAGATGTTTATTTCTAATTCCGTCTAATAAGGAATATTATCGTCGCAAGTATCTACAAAGAATAATATTCGAGATCAGTCTGCTTCTGCAGAAATCACAAACCAGTCAGAGCGAATTTCATTGGTTGAAACTACTTTTCTGACTGTT